TTGTCATCCCTCTTCTTGTCGCCTCATCCCCTTGCCCCTCCCCCCCTCGGGCTAGATAGCAACCAGGGCCATGGCTCAACCCGCAGCCCTGCGATGAGTGCAGCCGTGAGCGCGTTCAGTCAGGAGCGATGCGAATTATTGTATCCATGTTCCATGCGCGCGTCTTCGTAACCCGAACTGGCGCGTTTGATATTGTCCAGTTCGGCGTGGACGTCTTTCAGTTCATACCCCTCTTCCTCTTCCCCCATCCGCATCCGCTTATTCCTCCTCCCCCCTCTACCCGAGTCCGGGGCTACTGCAGGTGTTGTTTTCACCACCCCGTGGTCGATTTCGATCGGCGGAGTTTCGACCACGCTCGCAGGATTTTTTGTTGAGTTGGTTTTCTGCACGATCTGGGAGACATCGGTGCTTCTGCCTGGTACGTAGTCTTCCTTGTCCGCGGTGCGTGCTCGGAATAGCCCTCCCGAGGGGCAGCGGATTCGCATCCCTCCTGCCATGCTTTGCCTTTAAAAATGTGATATCCTTCCTCTTTCATGCCCCTTCTCCTCTTCCGCCCTCATCCTCCAACCTCATACCTCTCACACACACACATCCCACGCTCCTCCCTACTCCTCCTCCGTCCCCCCCCTGGTGGTCAAAGGCTCCAGTGGCACACGCTGCGAAAGAGCCACGACGGCTGGCACGTGGGAAGGATCAACCTCGAGAAGCTATGTTCCCCGATCAGTGCTTGCCCTGAAGCGGGCCTAGCGGATGTTCCCCAATCAGTGCTTGCACTGAGGGGGTCCTAGCGGAAGTTGAAGGATTTGGCGAAAGTTCCCCGCCGATTTTGGTGGCAGGTTGGGTTCCCCGGTTCCCGGGTTCCCAGCTCCGGGTTCCCGGGTTCCCGGTTCCGGTCTCTGGGCGGATTTCGGAGGGCGGCGAGGTTCCCGGGTTCCTAGGTTCCTGGTCGATTTTCTGATCGATCGGGTTCACCATCGATCTCATTACCGATTTCTCGATCGATCTCACCATCGATCTCGCAATCGATCCCATTATCAATTCCAGAAACGATCTCACTAGAGAGCGCATGGCCGATCTCGCGATCGATCTCACTATCAATCTCATTGAATCGATTTCATTCTCGGTCTCACGATCGACTTTACAAGCGTCCTTACCATCGATTCCACTATCGATCTCATTATCGGTATCACAATCGATCTCAAGATCCATAGTATCAATTTTCGAATCATCAACTGATTGGGGTTTTCTCAGGTGTACTTGAAGGATTTGGCGAAAGCCGATTTTGGTGGCAGGCTGGTTTACCCGGTTCCCGGGTTCCCGGTTCCGGGTTCCCGGTTCCCGGTTCCGGGTTCCGGGCGGATTTCGGAGGGCGGTGAGGTTCCCGGGTTCCCGGGTTCTTGGTCGATTTTCTCATCCATCGGGTTCACCATCGATCTCATTACCGATTTCTCGATCGATCTCACCATCGATCTCACAATCGATCTCATTATCAATATCACAACCGATCTCACTAGAGATCGCATGAGCGATCTCGCGATCGATCTCACTATCGATCTCGTTGAATCGTTTTCACTCTCGGCCTCACGATCGACCTTGCAATCGTCCTTACCATCGATTCCACTATCGATCCCATTATCGATCTCACAATCGATCTCAATTTCCCTAATATCAATTTTCAAATCATCCACTGATTGGGGTTTTCTCAGGTGTACTTGGAGGTGAAAGCCGATTTTGGTGGCAGGCTGGGTTCCCGGGTTCCCCGGTTCCCGGTTCTGGGTTCCGGTTCCCGGTTCCGGGTTCCGGGCGGATTTTGGAGGGCGGCGAGGTTCTTGGGTTCCCGGGTTCCTGGTCGATCTTCTTATCGATCGGGCTCGCCATCGATCTCATTACCGATTTCTCGATCGATTTCACCATCGATCTCATAATCGATCTCATTATCAATATCACAGACGATCTCACTAGAGATCGCATGAGCGATCTCGCGATCGATCTCACTATCGATCTCATTGAATCGATTTCACTCTCGGTCTCACGATCGACCTTACAATCGTCCTTACCATCGATTCCACTATCGATCTCACAGTCGATCTCAAGATCCATAGTACCAATTTTCAAATCAACCACTGATTGGGGTTTTCTCAGGTGTAAGGTGTAATTGAAGGATTTGGCGAAAGCCGATTTTGGTGGCAGGCTGGGTTCCCGGGTTCCCAGTTCCCGGTTCCGGATTCCCGGGTTCCCGGGTTCTGGGTTCCGGGCGGATTTCGGAGGGCGGCGAGGTTCCCGGGTTCCTGGTCGATCTTCTTGTCGATCGGGCTCACCATCGATCTCATTAACTACCGACTTCTCGATCGATCTCACCATCGATCTCACAACCGATCTCTTTCTCAATATCACAAACGATCTCACTATAAATCTCATGAGCAATCTCACAATCAATCTCACGATCTATTGAATCAATTTCACTCTCGGTCTCACGATCGACCTTACAATCGTCCTTACCATCGATTCCACTATCGATCCCATTATCGATCTCACAATCGATCTCAAGATCCATAGTATCAATTTTCAAATCATCCACTGATTGGGGTTTTCAGGTGTAATGAAAGGATTTGGCGAAAGCCGATTTTGGTGGCAGGCTGGGTTCCCAGGTTCCCGGGTTCCTGGTTCTGGGTTCCGGGGTTCCCGGTTCCGGGTTCCGGGCGGATTTCGGAGGGCGGCGAGGTTCCCGGCTTCCCGGGTTCTTGGTCGATCTTTTTATCGATCGGGCCCACCATCGATTTCATTACTGACTTCTCGATCGATCTCACCATCGATCTCACAATCGATCTCACTATCAACATCACAAACGATCTCACTAGAGATCGCATGAGCGATCTCGCGTTCGATCTCACTATCGATCTCATTGAATCGATTTCACTCTCAGTCCCACGATCGACCCTACAATCGTCCTTACCATCGATTCCACTATCGATCTCATTATTGATCTCACAATCGATCTCAAGATCAATAGTACCAATTTCCAAATCATCCACTGATTGGGTTTTCGCAGGTGTACTTGAAGGATTTGGCGAAAGCCGATTTTGGTGGCAGGCTGTGTTCCCGGGTTCCCGGTTCCGGGTTCCCGGGTTCCCGGTTCCCGGTTCGGGGCGGATTTCGGAGGGTGGTGAGGTTCCCGGGTTCCCGGGTTCCTGGTCGATCTTTTTATTGGTCGGTCTCACCATCGATGTTTTACCGATTTCTCGATCGATCGATCTCACCATCGATCTCACAATCGATCTCTTTATCAATATCGCAAACGATCTCATTAGAGATCGCATGAGCGATCTCGCGATCGATCTCACTATCGATCTCATTGAATCGATTTCACTCTCAGTCTCACGATCGACCGTACAATCGTCCTTACCATCGATTCCACTATCGATCTCATTATCGATCTCACAATCGATCTCAAGATCCGTAGTACCAATTTTCCAAATCATCCACCGATTTGGGTTTTCTCAGGTGTAATTGAAGGATTTGGCGAAAGCCGATTTTGGTGAGAGGCTGGGTTCCTGGGTTCCCGGTTCTGGGTTCCTAGGTTCCCGGTGCCGGGTTCCCGGTTCCGCGATTTGTGCAGATTTCGGAGGGCGGCGAGGTTCTCGGGATCTTGGTCGATCTTTTTATCGATCGTTCTCACCATCGATCTCATCACCGATTTCTCCACGATCTCACCATCGATCTTACAGCCGATCTACTTATCAATATCACAAGCGATCTCAATAGAGATCGCATGAGCGAACTCGCGATTGATCTCACTATCGATCTCATTGAATCGATTTCACTCTCGGTCTCACGATCGACCTTAACAATCGACCTCACTATCGTTTCCACTATCGATCTCATTATCGATCTCACAATCGATCTCAAGATCCATCGTATCAACTTTCAAATCATTCACTGATTGGGTTTTCTCAGGTGTAATGTTTGAAATCGTTCGCCCGTGGAGAAATCTTCTAGAGGCCTCCAGGAACCTGCAGGGACCCTCCTCAGACCTAAAGGACTGGGTAAGGGCGGCCCCAGAACTCCTTGGGCGTCGCGACAAAAACACAACGGGCGACGTTTCGACGACCTAGAACTCCTCCAGGCTGGCCTCGTACTTATGGGGCCATCCACCAAAAAATGCTTGCGACGCGAGTATGGTCGAGGGTTCCAGGCACCTTCCGCGACAAGATCATGACGCCGAAGGCCCGGGACTTTTGGGAAGGTCGGCGGCGAGACCGGGTGAGCCGGTGATCCCGGGGGGAAGGACGGGGATGAGTGCGGATGAGTGCGGGCCAAAACGGATCACGACCGCCTGCGCTTTCGTGCCGTGGGAGCGTCGGGCCGCTTCGGGCCGTCCCCGAGCCAGACCCTCAGCTCCAAGAGCCCCTACAGGGGCTGGTTTTTGGAAGGGTGCTGTCCATTCCACAACCGTGTCGGCCTACCCCCGATCACCCTTTGGGCCCCAGGGCTGCGTGGGGAGAAACGGCCCGTCCACCTGTCGCGGGCGTATCTGGTACACTTGCGGCAGAAGACTTGAATGCTACGGGTCATGATTTTGTGCCCCGCTCTCTGGCCCCTGTCGACCCTGGTGCACCCCCAGTCCCGAACGGCCCGAGACAGGAGGAGCGCCACCAGGGGCGGGGCGGTGGGGTCGGGGGCCGCCAGGGCCCTACCCCACACGCACCCGACCGCCCCCAGGTTCCCAGGAAGGCCCAGGAGGACGGAGGGGGGGTCGGGGGGGTTCGAATCCGTCGGACTCGAGCCCTGCTCAGAGTCGACAATGTGATGGCCCAGGCAGCCTACATGGGCTCCGAATTCCAGGAGGTCCCGAGCCCGCCGATAGTTCAGAATGTGGACTCCTCTACACCAAACTGAGTGAGTACGGTACAGAGCTCCCTGCTTTGCAAGGTCAGCTGTTTTGTTGCCCTCCCACTGCGCGCTGCCGATTGCTGCTCGCTCGGCGCGCGTCGCGTGGGCCTTCAGCCCTTGCACCTGCACGGTGCGCGGGCTCAAGCCTCCGCACTCTGCGACGGCCTGGGCGATGCACTCCCAGCGGTCGAGGTGCAGGTGGCTCCTCTTGTCGAGCCACGACGGTCCCGCCATCACGCCGTCGTTGACGTTCTGGCTGTCGGTGCAGATGAACATGGGCGGGGTGCCTGTCTGCGGCGCCTGCCGCCGCGCGTGGATCTTCCCCCGCAAGGTGCTCTGGGCCCTCGGCGCGCCAGGGCGGGACCCGTAGCCCCCGTCGCCCATGTCGTACTCACCGTTGTCCTAGAGCTTGGTGAGGCTGATTCCCCCTCGTCTCCGCGGTGCGTAGTCGCCGAACTGCCTCGAGCCGCCCAGCTTGCATGTCACTCCTCCCGCTCTGCGCACGGCTGTCACCCGTGCCTTCTTCTCTGCAAACGTCGGCTCCCGCTTATTGATGGCGGCCACTCTACTCCGTCTGCATGCTGTTGCAGTCCCTCCCAGGTGCTTCTCGTGCTTGACTACTCCCGCGCTGAGGTACCTGGTCTTCTTGTTGTTGCGGTCTCTCCCCGCAGCGGAGGAGGCCAGGGTGACCGTCTTCGCCTCCGTGCCGCTTGAGACCGCCCTGTCCACGGCCGTCACGATCCTGGAGCTCACGGCGGCGATGGGCTGCGGGTGGTCCTCGCCGACGTGCTCGTGCCTGCCGTACGTGGCTGCGGCGCGGTCCCCGACGTGGTGGGGCGCGTTCGCCCGGCAATCCTGGTGCGCCAGCCTGTCCAGCTCGAGGATGATGACCGCCTGGCGACCGAACGGTATGTGCCAGCTGTCCGCCTCGATGCCCCGCTGCCCAGCCTTGCCCTCGGCGTAGCCCCGGTCCAGGACGCCGTGCCGCCCTATGCTGTACATCTTGCGGTCCGTCCGCATGATGCTTGAGTTGTCGCCTCGTCGCTGCGACGCCCCCCATGCCCTCCGCTGAGTAACCCACTCGAAGCACTTGATCAGGCCGAAGTAGGTCCCCTCGTGGCGGTGCCCGTCGGCCCGCGCAGCCTCGCAGTGGAGGGCCTGTGGTTGGGCCGCGCGTTCCCGCGATCTCCCTCGGCTTGCCCAGTCATGGGCTCGCTTGTTAGCCGCCCCCCAACGCCTCGCGTAGGGCATGCGGTTGGTCTCCCACATGTCCACGCTGGTCACGCTGTCCACGTGGCGCAAGCCTCTCTGAGCGATGTGCTCGGCGTCGATCCAGGCTGCTGTGATCGCCACCCTGCCCCAATCGATGTCCGCGCGTCGCCCCCGCCCCGTCGGTCGGCGGCGCTCTCTCGCCGCTTTCGCCCCGACCAACGGGCAGTCCTGCGAGGCCGTGAGGCCGAGGACAGCGGGGGTCCGCCGAGGAGTATTCTCTGGGAGGCTCGTGCTGCCCCCCTCGACTCGGCATCCTGTGTAGCTTAACTCGTCCAGGTTGTCGGAGTTCTCCTGCTCGTCCATGGCGTCTACGTTGCCCCCCTCCTGATTTGGCATCGCCCGCCATGCTAGGTAGTCCCGCTCGAGGAGCGGCTCGATGATGTCGTTCCCAAGGATACCCTTGGCATTGTTCTGGGCGCAAGCCAGGTGGCTCTTGCCCTCTTGCCCGTCCTGGCCGACGTAGTTGAGGTACTTCCTGGAGTGCTCCTCGTACGTGTTGCCCATGATGAAGTGGTCGCGGCACCGTGCCTCCCCCAATGTGGCGCACGAGCCGCGCGGAGTGTCGAACACGATGACCCATTCCATCTTGTTGTTCACCCCGGTGTGCTGTAGCCCAGCTGGGTCCATGTCGGCGTCGTCGCCCTGGATCCAGTACTTCCCCGCCCTTGCGGCGGCCGTGGTGGAGTTCCGCGGGGCGCCCTCGCTATCCCAGAGGTGCGCCGTGCCTGCATTGGCCCCCTCCTTGCCGACAGTCTTCATCCTGCCCTTCGCCAGGCCGCCCTTGGACTCGCAGGGCGTGTCGTCCCTCGTGCCGGGCCCCATGACGTAGCTCATGTTGTTTGGCCGCACGGTTGCCAGGAGCAGCTGCGCTCTCCAGCCCCCCCGCGCGGCACGGACGCTCGGCACGTTGCCCAGCCTCCAGCCCTCCTTCTGCATCCGTTGGTTGACGCAGGAGATGCTGCACTCGTTGGCCTGCAGCTCCTTCGCCATGCCCGCGCGGTACTTGTGCATGTACCTGGTGGCCCGCATGGCGCGCCCCGGCGTGCCAGTGGGGTTCGCGCTGATGGTGCTGAGCCCCTGCCCTCGCCCTTTGCCAGGGTGACGGCGGGGCCGTCCAAATACTCTTGCTGATGGTGATGCCAGCCAGCAGAGGAAGAAGATGAGGCCTGTGGCGCTCGATCTGCTCGGCCGTACAGCCCGCCTCGTGCATGATCTTGGTGATCTGTGCCTGGTCGGCGTTCTGGGGGAACGAGACCAGCTCCTGCTTGATCTCCTCTTCGGTTCTGCGCTTGTTCCTCTGCTGCTTGTCCTGGGCGGCCTCGCGGGCTGCGTCGGCCTCCCTCTTGGCGGCTGCTGCCGCTGCTGCCGCGGCAGCCCGCACCTCCTCGACGGTGCGCTGCTGCTGCGCGTGCTTGAGGGCTTCGGCGATCTTGGTGTCGGTCTCCTGCTCGCGCAGGCACTTCTTCGCTTGCTCCAGGAAGGACACTGCCGCTCCCCAACCCTTGCCCGCCTTGGGCACGCTGAGCTCCTCGATGCGGGCTCTCTGCTTCTGCAGCTTCTCATCTTGTCTGGCCAGGAGTGCTTTCTCTTTCTCAAGCTCATCTTGGGCCTCCTTGATTTCCTCCTCCAGCTTCCCGACGCGCTCCTGAGTGCGCTCCCGCTGTGCTGCGTTTTGTTCCTCTCTCGTACGAGCTTGCGCTCCGAGAAACAGCGAGGGATGTCGCTGCCGTTGTCGACAGCTGCCTGCAACTCATCAACCTCCTTCTGTACGATGTCGATGTTGCCCTGGACGTGCTTTGCCAAGTCTGGGCCCGCCGCATGCTTCCGAAGTTCTGCCAGGTGCACCCGTAACTTCTTGAGCTTCGCTTTGGTGGCGTCGTCGGCGTCAGCATCATCCTGGGTGCTGGTCGCACCGTGGTTCGTGGTCTTCGCGGAGTCTCGAACCTTCCAGCACTTCCAGCAGAAGTCGTAGCCTGCCCCGTCCCGGGCTTTGCAACCGCTGCAAGCCCAGCCTCCATCCCGCGACTTGGATCGCGGGGCCATAAATCAGCTCGAGAGCGCAGTGCCACTTTGAAGTTGGCGCTCCCTAGCACCGTCCCGCCTCTCTGCAGGCACAAAGGCGGCTCGGCGCAAAATGGCTGGGAAGGACGGGGAGGAGGAGGAGTAGTAGATGGAGGAGGAGAGAGCAAGGGAAGGGAGGCTGTGAAGGAAGGAGGAGAAGGGAGGTCGAGGAGGGGGCTAGTGGCGGACCTTTCCCCGAGGGCTTCGGAGAAGCCCCACCGCCCATCTGAGAGGGCCTTTTCCTTCTCACTTGCCCCCCCCTGGCTCGCCGCCAAGAAGTGCAACTGATCCACGTGCACACGGATGGGCCCAGGCTCGGCGGAGGAGTGACGCCCCCAGCCTGGCCAGGAAGGCGCATGCATCGGCGTTGGGACTGGGACTGGACTGGCCAAGCTCAGTTCACGAGCTCAGGGGCAACGAGAGGGGAGGGACTGGCGTAGAGGAGGATGCATCGACCCCCAGTCGCCCATTGATCGCCGATAGGGGCCCGATAGCCCCAACCCGCCCAGGAAGGTGCGGATTCGTTTTTGGGGGCATGCGGCTGATCTATCGGCGATGTATTGCCGATTCCAGGTCGATGCATCCCCCCCTTATGCCAGTACCCCCCTATCGTTGCCCCTCACGAACAGTGAGCATATCCGCGCCTTTGCGGCGTGGATTCCGGGGCGCGATCCCGTGGGTGTTGGGTCGCATGGATATGTTCCGCTCGGAGCACCCGCGAGCAAAGCGCGGAGGGACCTGGCCCATGAGGCCATGGATATGAATATGTCTCCCGCGCAGGATCCGTGCACGTGAGTGGGTAGCCGGCGTGCCCCGAAAGGGAGGCTGCGCGACGGACAGGGAGCCCAGAGGACACGAAGTGATTCCGAGACCCCTTTGCGGATCTCGGGCCCCCGGGAGGTCCTTTCCCGGGCCCCCGAGGCCATCAGAAGAGTTTGGGCCTCCATGATGGGGTCGGAGTAGATGGGGTCGGAGGATCGCGCCGCATCGCCGATTCATCGCCGATGCGGCTCGATGTGGAGCCCGATTTGCTTCACGTCGGCGTCGCCGATGCATTGCCGACGTCGCCGACGCACCGGCGATGCATCGCCGATGCTTCGGCGATGCATTGGCGATGCGGCGCGATCCTTCGACCCCATCTGCTCGGACCCCATCGCGGAGGCCTCCAAAGACTGCTCGGGACGAGACGAGGCCGAGGCCCGGCGGAGAACTCTCCGAGGGGCCCGCGGCTTGGCCGGGGTGGTCATTCCATGGGGGGCCCACAGGGAGAGGCAGCCGCAGCACCGGCCTGCGCGCCCGGAGTGGCCCTCTTCGTGGCCCCCGACTGCCGCGCACGGTGCCTCTCGGGGGCCCCCAAGCGGTGAGGTGTCCACACCGTGCGGTGAGTTCCTCCTCCTCCTCCTCCTCCTCCTCCTCCTCCCTCCTCCTCCTCCTCCTCCTCCTCCTCCTCCTCCTCCTCCTCCTCCTCCTCCCTCCTCCTCCCTCCTCCTCCTCCCCCTCCCTCCTCCTCCTCCGTCGGTGGGGATTCGGGGTAGCCGCACGGGTTTGGGGCTCGGGCCGTGCTCCTCGGGCGGCGGGGGCCTCCGGGGGGCCCCGAGGGCCGTGCGGTGGCGGGCCGTGCGGTGAGGTCTCGCGGGGAGGGCTCGAGGTCGCGGCACGTTTGGACGCCCGTATCCACCCGCCCACCAGGCCGAGCGGCGTGTGAGCTTTGACTGTGAGGAGAGCTCTATATTCAGAGGAGGAGGAGGACGACGACGAGGAGGAGGAGGAGGAAGAGGAGGAGGAGGATAATAAGGAGATCCGGGCGCTGCATTGTTTCACACGGGGCGCTTTCGCCCCTCCCGTCCTTCGATTCTCCGGCACGGACCAGAGAAATACGTGTATTCTCTTTGGACGCCCGAAATGGGTACGGAAAGGAGGGGTACAATGCCCAACAGCAGTTCCTGTTCATCTTGAACAGGACTCGCTGTCGGTGTCGCCGCGGCCTGTGTACGTTTGAGACAGAGGGCCGCCTGCCCACTAGCGGCCGCTGTTGGTTTGGGGCAACATTTGTTGTTGGGCATTGTACCCATTCTTTCCGTGCCCATTTCGGGCGTCCAAAGCACGGTCCGTCACCGCACCGCTTCGGGACTCCAAAGCCTAGACTCTCGGGTCATGAAAAAAAGTACGACGGGAGGTTCTTCGCTGTCTTCGGCCTCCGCCTGGCCTCGGGACGGTAATTAAAACAAGTAGTCGGAGCGGGAAGCCAGTCCCCGGGAATTGGTCGATGCCTTTGGGGGTCGACGTCATGAAGAGATCATGACGTCCAGGGTCTGGGTAGATTCACGTCGTGTCGACTGGCGGCGACCCCGCCGCCGGCGTTCAACGTTGAACACCGCTGGCGACGCAGAATTGGTCGACGTTGAACGGCCTGACGTTTCGGAAGCGGCCGATCGTTCAAGGTTGAACGATCCCCGCAGTGTCAGGAGCCAACGCCGCAGTTTGCACGACACGAACCTGCCGCGTCAAAGGTCACTCTTACCACAGGGTCACTCCTGCGCGTGGCCGAATTTTACGTTGGTCCCCGTGCCCCCGACGCTGGCAGGGGGAGGACCGCGGCGCGAGCTCGCCCAAGTTTGGGGATCGGTTCGCGCGGCACTGCCAGCTCGCCGGATGCTTTTTCCTGTCCTGCGCGGCGGGGCTGGTGTACAGGCCCCTCCCCGCCGGGCTCCCGCGCGGGGGGGGGCGGTGTACAGGCCGTTCTCGCTGGAAGTCGTTGCGCTCTTCGGTATGCAGCAGAGCAGGCTTATGACATTCCAACCTGCTTTAGCCTCGATCACCAGAAAGAATTTCGAGCACCAGGAAAATATTGAGAGTGGAGGGTTTTCACGTGTCGGGCCCCAGGAGACTCGTCTGACACTGTTTCGACACTTTTTCGACGCTTTTCCGGGTGCTCGACATTATTTCTGGGAGATGGTCCTCAAGTACGATGGGAGCAACAGAAGAGTAGGCCTCCCATCTGGGGTCCAAGCAGATGGGGTCGGAGGATCGCGCCGAGTCGCCGAGGCATCCGAGAGGCAGCCCGATGTGGAGCCCAGTGGCCTTCACGCCGACGTCTCGCCCGTGCCTCGCCGCTTCGTCGCGAGCATCCGACCCCGCTCAAAGGTCCTGGAGAGGAGGAGGAGGAGAAGGAGGAGGAGGAGGAGGAGGAGGAGGAGGAGGAGAAGGCAGGAGGTGGAGGAGGTGGAAGAGGAGAAGGAGGAGGAGGAGGAGGAGGAGGAGGAGCAGGAGGAGCAGGAGGAGGAGGAGGAGGAGGGTCCAAGCGCAGCGCCTGGGGGGTCATCACCAAAACTGGGTCAGGGAGAAGAGGTGGTCCCAGCGGAATCCCCAGGGTCCGGGCCCAGGCTCCCTCGGGACCTTTGCTCTTCCGCCGTCCGCAGCTCTCGGGCACCCAGGTCCCAAGACCGTTCATCCTGCTTCAAGGTCCAGCGGCTTCCCAGTCGATAGCCCAGTACTCGGGCGGTGCGAGACCCAGAGTACGCCAGCCGCCTTCCAACTTAGTAGTTCTATCAGCTTCTTGCGAACGGCCTGTGAGCAAAAGCAGTTCGTCGTTTCCTAGCAGATCTCGCCGTGACCCTCTGTGCTTGCACCGTGCGCTGTCTTTTGAGACTGTCGACTCTGAGTATTTGGCCCCAAGCATCCGCAGCGAGCTGTTTGGCATCGTTTGCTATGCGAAGGGCGCTGCCAGGCGCAGCGTAACATGCACGGGCTAATAAGCGTTGCTACCCTCGTAGAACTCATTTTGCCGCTGAATTCGTTGTTCTGCTTCGAGCAGTTTGTTGAAGCTACATCAGTGTGACGTCGTCTTGGCTGGACAGGGGCGATTGCCATCACGATGTGATCAAGTTCCTGTGAATTTCCCTCGCAGCGAGTCTAGTGTTTACATGGCTCGCGCAGGAGTCGTCGAACCTTCCGTGTGCCGCGGGCCAAAGAAAAGTAATGTGCTCGGTTCGCAGGTCCCGCCAGACTTGGTCTCCCGACAGGGGACTGAGAGCACGCCCTCGCCACGAGTGGCGACCGCGCGCGTCGACTCAGCCGTACGGCAATAGCAACGCAGTTGGGGGCGGGACGTGGATGTTTGGAAGAGCGGTGGGCTTCTAGCGCAAGCTGCATGGCGCAGGGTGGGCGGATGTGCAGTGGCCAGATGTCGGAGAACAAAAACAGAACATTCGCCCGAGCTCCGCGCGGATTTCTTGGATCGTCGCCTGGGCCGCCTCTGGCACGCAGAGCGCGCCAGAGCAGGGGGATCCAGCGCGGATCCAAGACATCCGCGCGGACCTCCAGAAGTTTGTGTTCATGGCATTGTTTCTTCGTTTAACATGGTGGGGGATTGGACACATTACCCCAAATAGTTTCTGCGGGGCGCTTCTGAGGGGCGGGTGAGCTACAAGGGCACAGGCGGTGCACCAGTGCTCCGGTGACAGATGTTGTCTTCGCACTTGCCCTCGTAACACCGCTCTTGACCCCTGCCGCCTCCCCCCTGGCTCCTCGGAGCTGGGAGCAGGTAGCGGGTCTCTCCTGTCCGCCTCCCTCCTCTTCCTCCTCCTCCTCCTCCTCCTCCTCTTCCTCCTCCTCTCGGTCGGTGCGCCTCCTCTTCCTCCTCCTCCTCCTCCTCCTCTCCCCATCCTCCTCCTCCTCCTCCTCCTCCTCCTCCTCCTCCTCCTCCTCCTCCTCCTCCTCCTCCTCCTCAGGCAGCGATAGACCCAGGGAGGCGAGGGGGAGGAGTGGAGAGGACGGGATGGCAGGAGGGGGGAGGCGGGGCGGGGGGGCGTGTGTGAGTGGACGAAAATCGGCGGTATAAAGTACGCTGTTCCGCCATGGGGGACCCCAAACCCAGGGCGGCTGGAAAGTTTCGCCCCCCCACCTGGTATCAATCCTCCAGCCGCCCTGGGGGCGGGGGTCCCAGATGGCGGAACAGCTTGTGGTATACAGGCGGCCCGGAT